AGTTTTGGGTTTTTTCTGTTTTTTTTTTTTTTTTTTTGGGGGGGGGGGGGGTGGCCGAAAGGTGTTTCTGTGGGACTTAGGGGTGGGTCTAGACATGTTGTACATTGCATGAGAGGGATCTGTGAAGCAAACCTTAGGTTGCTTTTCTAGAAAGATAGAGGTGTGGAGGCATGGTCTTGAGTTTTCTCACTTTTTTCTTCAGCAAACCAAATCTGGTAGTCTCTTTTTGAATTGTGTGTGAGCTGTTTCCCAGGTGGGTGGCGTTAGCGCGACCTTTATAGCTACCACAAGGTGTTGAGTTGGCTCACCAGATCATGCCACGTTTCAGTCGTTTTTTGCTACTCTTCTAGGAGGGGGGAATGGTGGGATGCAGAAACCCCATCAGCCCTACTTTTTCTTTCCCTTCCAAAGTGAGAAAAATTTAATTGATGGAATGAGGTAGTGATTATTCATTTTCGTCTTGGTTGTTCGTAAGAAATTTATTTCCTTTATAATCCCTTTCACCAAAAGAATAAAAGATTGTTCCTCGTCCTTTTCTATTAACTACCTACCTATCTAGCGAACAGAACGTGATTCTAATTTCATTTCCTCCCTTGTAGATTTCCCAAAGAAGCCAAGGCTAACCACTTTTCTTCTTTTTTCTCTCCAGTAGAGAAATTTTACCCTTCCATCCATTTCTTTCATAATTATAGTATATCCTAGGGTTTGAGAGGAGAAGAAGAAAAAGCAGAAGATAGAGAGAAAGAGAGAAAGAGAGAGGAATATTCTGTGTAGGTTATGTTGTCCTACACTCTTTTATTTATAATTAATTGATATTATAGGTAATTACATTATTACCATACACTACTAGAAATATAAAATAAGAACTCTAACACTCTTTCAACTTGTGGAGTATAGAAATTAAAGTTGTCCAGCTTAGAACAAAGATTAGTGAAGACAGGTCGAGCCAATGGTTTGGTAAGGATGTCACTCACTTTGTTATGGTGTGATAATTTTTTTTTGCATCTAGAGATCTCGAATAAAATAGCAACCCACTTCGATATGCTTAGTCCTCAAATGAAGCATCGGATTACTGGCAGTGAAAATAGTGAAAGTAGTTGCCTAGTTGTCATAGTGCATAACTCGACAGGAGATGGCACACAAATACCCCTCTCATGAAGTAGAGAACAAGCCTACAACATCTCACATGCAAGATGAGCCATGGCCCAATATTTAGCCTCCGCACACAAAAGTAAGAAGATTATCACTAATAAACGTATAGTAGCACAAAGTAGATCGTCCATCAACATGACTATCTACCTAGTTAACATTGGAAAAGCCAATAATAATCATGGATGATGAATGACAATATAGTAATCCTTTACTCGATGTTCCTTTCAGATATCGAAGAATAAGACTGATAGCCTCCCAATTAGGCTTTAGGAGTATGCATGAATTGACTAAGGGTAAATTGCACCAATGATGCCTCAAGTTTGCCATTCATTGTGTTTTAGTCCTTAAATTTTCAATTTCATCAATATCATCCTCAAAGTTCAAGCATTTAGCTAATGTGGTTCTTCACGCTAATTGCCGTTAGGAAAATGGATTAAAATGCCATGTGCCCAACACATGCTGCTTTTTAGTGGCATTTATGGTATTTTGCAAACAAAGAAAAGGGCAAAATGTAAAATAAAAAATCATCTCCATTGCTCTGTTTTTTCTCTCAAATCTGATACTCCAACCAACCGCAACCCCTCAGCTTACATCTACACCTAGGAACCCCATATAAGCAATAGTAACACAACTGCACCCCTTTCCTCCTCCTACTCCTTTGTCACATTTAAGGCCAACACCAACTACACTTCCTATGCCTAAAACCGACCATTGCCACCTCCATTAAGATGGTACTAGTACCAGTTGTCAAGAACCCACAAAAAATTATGAATTCTATATAGAGATAAGCAAAGCAATCTAGAGAAAGTGAAATAGAGAGTTAGATAAAGAAGTTCAAAATCAAAATCAAATACCCAATTCAAACCTAATTTTTCTTCAATTCAGCTTTGGGGCATGATAGTGAGTTCGACTAGTGAGCAATTCCAAGGCGGTGCGGTTAATTAGAGCTTGATGCCCATATAGGTCCCGAAAACGCAAGTGGTGCATTCAACTCAAACCCCACCATTAAAGCACGCCAAGACTTTTTATTGTCATGCAAGTGTTCTAGACCGAGATAAAGGGATCTGTGTTGTGTACGTGAGCTAGAGATCTGATCAAAGTTTGAGAGGCATAGACATAGAGATAACGCAGATAGAGAGAGGCGTAGAGACAGAGATAAAGAGCTAATTGGATGGAGAGAGAGTGTGTGTGATTGAGTGTGCGTGGAC